ATATATATATATATATATATATATATATATATACACATACTGTATACAGTATATATAAATTAATTTTAGAATGTAAATGAATACATATTTTACACAGTATTTATTCAGAACAACTATACATACCATGTACCATAAACATTAAACAAACCAAGACTGCAAAAAATGTGTGACATCAGCAATTACTGAACAGCATGTGAATTTGGTCAAGTGTTTAATGCTGATTCATAAAATATATCCATTTCTGAAAAATTGGATGATTAATTGGAACTTCAATTTTCTGAACCGAAACTGTGGGCATCTCTCCTGTGGCACCTTCTTGTGCCTGTCAAAACAAACAGCGAGGGGTCGGTAATGCATGGTTCTACCTGCAAATGAGAGTCTCCACCACATCCAGCTGTTTCAGTCCTGGAAAGGGTGTGATTAGGATGATTGATCCTGTTTTTATCTGAGTGAAAACAAGAGTGAAAATGCAGGTTGAGGATTGGACCCAGACCTGGTCAACATAGTAATGGTCACCACATCCGCTTCCAAACACACATGCTATCACACAAATCACTGCCTGCCTTTTTAAATGACACACCACAATAATTCCCAGCTTGTTTCTGAGACCAGACACCTACCATTCATCAGCAAGCAAGACGAAAAGAGGCAGCCAGGTGAAAAAGCGAGTGCGGAAAAGCATGACAACACAGGAGGATTTAGAATGACATAGCAGGGAGAAAAAGACATCAGCAGATAAGACGAGAGAGTCGGAGCGAGAAAGATTCGTCTGTGAGTCACTTCGAGACACGTTTTTGTCTTAAACAGCTTTTGTCTCTAAAAGAAAGGCGGAGAAAATGAGGAGCAGACGTTCACGCTAAATATTTCCTACTGTTTCCATTTCCACTTCCACATTAAGTCTAGATTGAAATTCTTCTTTAAATGGAGTATTTGCATCATATTCCCAGTGGTGCCTCGCTGCACATGAATATTGGGGCTGTTTAAGCTGCTGTCATATTTGCTGAACTGTTGAAGATGTAATTTTGACTCAATAGAAGCACATCAGTGGGATTGGAAGTAAAATGAGGTTTTCCATACTCCGCTCATGCTCAAATCTCCTATGTATTCTGCCGTCAACTCAATAGAAGTCGAAGATATAATTGAGTGCTTGGAGAAGTGTGCTAGTGGGAACGCCATGTTGTGTCAGAGGCTATGAAGTTTTGATTTGTTTGACAGCGCTTGCTCACACACACACGCATACGTTGGTACGTTCACTGTGATGACTTATTAATCACGGTTGAAAGGGGGTTAGCGTTTACAGTCATGTGACTCGATATTCAGATTAGCCTCCAGAGAGCTCTGTTATAAAAAATATTAGGCTTAGCCACTGCTGCAGGACAAGATGTTTGTTTTGTAGCATCTTCTTCAATAGTTTTTATTATAAATTTAATCTTTTACTGAATTTGATGGATTTATGGTTCTTTACTAAATGCATTAGCTTCAGCTATCAAGGGAGGGACATTTTAGTCTTTAGAGGTCTGGTCATGGATCTTTCAAGTATGCTTCACTTAAAGGGATCGTTCATCCATAAATGGACATTCTGTCATCATTTACTCACCCTCGTGTCGTTCCTTACCTGAATTACTTGTTTTTCTTCTGTGGAACAGAAAAGAAGATATTTATTTTATTACATTTTCTCCCTGATTCTTTTGTTCACTTTTTGGATAGAGAGAAGTGTCAGCTCATCTTTCTTCATCCAGCAGGTGAATCCACCTCCTCCATTACAAAGGTGACTGTAATCATCTTCTCTGGCTCCATATGAGCCACACAAAATGGCCTCCATCCGGGGATGCCATTACCTCCTGTACACAGGCCTGATGCTGAAAATCTTCCCCGTTGATATATCCCTTTCTGGCATCCAGCAAGATCTTGTTAGTTTATTTGTTTGTGTAGTTAGGCTCACCTTATATGGTTTCTCTCTCCTAGCAGCTTATTTTTATTTTGGGTTTCACTGCAAGAACGTTAGATACTTCCAGGACCTTGGGTGACTTCTCCGCCAAAAAACTGGAAGAAAGTGAAATGAATGATGAGATGACTAGGTTGTTTCTGGCTGCAGCTGAAGATTGCATCCTGGTGCGCGACTCTAGGTAGTGACCTACATAAAAATGATGAAAGCAGGCACAGTCCTGTGGGCACAGCCAGGGAACCGGTGGACATTTCGCCAGGTGTGCTTGATGAGGCGTTGTTGTGATTAGGAGCAGGATGTGATGTGAAGGAATATTCCTCAGAGGAGAGGGAGATTAGAAAGGGGAAAAAGATGGAAGAATGGGACAAACATTGTACTTCTGCCGCAGACTGGTTAACAGATGGACCTCCACCTGCTGCTAGGTCTCTTTAGGTGTTCATTGGAGTGAGTTACACTCTGGATTGTAATCACTTAAAGGTACAGTGCACCCAAAAATGCAAAATATTTTATTCACCCTTGTGACATTCCAAACTTGTATCACTTTTTCTTCTGCCAAACACAAAAGCCAATTTTATTTGATTGATTGATTGATTTTATTGTATGGCCAAAAAGAGTTAATATATTTTTCAAAACGTCATCTTTTGTGTTCTGCAGAAGAAAGCCAAAAATGCATATTTTCTCATCATTTACTCGTCCTTGTGAGATTCCAAACATGTTTGACTTTCTTTCTTGCATAAAATAAGGTGATGTTTTCAACAGCGTACTGCTGTTTTCCCCATGCAATGAAAGCTGATAGTGATGAGTGCTGCAAAATCTCCAAAAGGGACAAAAGCACAATAAAAGCATTTTATGCTGTATACATTTTCTGAATGGAGCTTTGTGTGAGGAATAAGCCAAAAGACAGAGCACCAAGTTTGAAATCTGTGATGATTGAGTAGGGTAAAAATTTCTGTAAATAATGATTTAAATTTCAGTCTGTTCCTCACACAAAACTATTGTATGACTTCAGAAAACCTTGAATATCCTGCGCGAGTCAGGAATCCTTTTATGACATTTTTATGGTGCTTTATAGTTCATTCTGGAGCTTGACAACCATTGCTCACTATATACAGTATATTTCAAAAGTTTGGGGAAATTTTTTAATTGATCAAAAAGGACAGTAAAGACATTTATAATGTTACAAATTATTATTTCAAATAAATGCTGTTCTTTTTAACTTTCTATACATCAGAGAATCCTGAAAAAAAGTGTCATGGTTTCATCAAAAATGTGTTGCTCAATTATTTTCAACATTGATAGTAATTAGAATTGTTTCTTGAGCACCAAATCAACATATTAAAATGATTTCTGAAGGATCATGTGACCCTGAAGACTGAAAGAATGGTGGCTGTAGCCAGCTTGCCATTACAGGAATAAATTACACTCCAAAACATATTAAAATAGAACAGTTACTTTAAATTATTATAATATTTCACAATATTGTACGACTGCGCAAGTGATGCAAATCATTTCTGGGTGAACTATCCCTTTAATAAGTGTCTTTAATGAGAATAACATATAGCAGCTTATTCGTTCACGATTTTTATTCGCATAATTTAACGTCAAATACGAATGCTCTTATGTACATTTGATTACACCCACTCCCATCCATCTCCATATAAATTATTTTACCCCAAATATCACAGAATCATGTTTCCCATTCTTTTTCCTTTTACAAGCCAACGACCAGAACTTCATGCCCATTAGTTCACTGTATAACCTTAGTTCTCTCAGGACTACCTCATGTATCAACATTATCTAGAGTAATGGGACAGAAACTGGTCTTGTTTGGACTTCCAGCTGCCCGTGAGGAATTGACATGCTGCCCCAGGCCCCTGGCTGCTCTCTCTGGGTTCGGTCCCATCTCAGACGGGAGCCAAGGAGTGGGCGCTCGAAGCGCTGCTCTTGGCATCCAGACAAAGCCTTCGAAATAGGTTAAGGGAAGTAGGGTGACACAAAAGGCCCTTTTGAGCTCCTCAAAGAGCACAGTGTAGACTCTTGGATTGTTTTAAAGATGACACAAGCCAACAGCATCCCATTAGTTTGCTTTTAACTAACAATCAATAGTTCCTTTAAGATGATCATCACTCTATTTTGGTCACATTTCCTGTGGAGGCAAATGGGACCTTTTGACATTCAATGTGTATTTTAGGAAACGAACATCGCTCATTCGTGTCATTTTCAGGTCCACTAAGTGCTTCTGTTGATAAGAAATCCAATCGCGCTGGAAGTTAATCTAAATGTAAATCTACAAATGAAACGAAATGTAAATCTAAATATAAACCTTAAGGAAATGTGTAGAGAGATGTGGTGAAAGCTCTCTGATGTGTGAGATATTTCAGGATTAACGGAGCTTAATGTTACGAGTGAATTAGTATTCTGCGATCCATACACGTTCTCCTCTGAGGACTTCAAGACGAAATGCTTTTCCTCTAATTCACTGTCCTTACGGTCTTGGTGCATTAGCTACCTCACCTTACCTTAAGTAGTAATCCTAATTCTTAAGAGCATGTCTTCTGAGAATCGGTTCGAGAGGAACAATAAAGACCTTGAGCCATGACCTCATACTTTTCACAGGAAGTGTGCACTTCACATCCCTTTTGTTGTACCTTCCCACTTGGGTCCATTAGTCATCAGGTCCCATTAAAAGAACAAAGAAATACAATACATTATGTGGAGATATGTTTGACCAAAATGCATTGATTGTCTTAATAATGGACCGTGACAAATGCGCTCATTGATAGTGAGGCTGGATGTCCTTGGTTCACCCTCCCTCGCGGTGAGAAACACTAAGGTTGCTGTGTACCCTACAGACAGTAGCTTCCTCTGTCTCTTTATATCACATACACCAAAGGTGGTCACTGATCTTTCTGCCCCCGGTAAATAAGAAAGTACAAACACAGATGTGAGTTATGCCAAAAATAGTTGGCCTAATGCAACGACCTTGCACTAACGGTAACTGGCAGAGCTGAGTGTCCTTGAACGGGGCTCGTGACCCCTGGACGAGGTGCAGGCAGATACTCGATTTGCTTAGCGACACAGAGGTGGCAAATGGCGGGAGAGAGAGTACAACCCACAGCCTGTGGAATTAATTAACATAATTTGGCATGAGTTGTGTCCTCATTAGCAGGTGGTCCGTCAACCTTTTTGACCGTGGTGGCGCCTCCTGGCTGTGGTGGATGGGGTAGGCGAGAAGTCTTGTGACCTGGTGATGTCCCTGTGCAGATTCCCTGCATTTTTGGCTTATGTTAACAAAATGTTTCACCGTTTTCTATTCCAATAGAGCCCATGCGGGCGCTGCGTGGTCTTCGAGCCTCGGAGATCCAGTCCCGACAGCTGACCTTGCAGTGGGAGACGCCGGCCTTCAACCTGACCCGCTGCCACACGTACTCGGTCTCCTTGTGTTACCGCTACACGACCGCAGGGGGCGGCGGTGGGCACAACACCACGGTGAGAGAATGCCTGGCTGTGGAGCACAACACTTCACGCTTCACCCTCAGAGATCTGCCTCCTTTTCACACCATCCAAATACGCCTGGCACTCGCCAACACCGAGGGCAAGAAGGAAGGGAAGGAGGTCATGTTTCAAACTGAGGAGGACAGTGAGTAGCAGAACTTTCAATGAATATTAATCTGTATATGTCATTTGTTGTATTTCTATTGCTGTGGTGCCTGGGTTTCAAGAGTGGGGAAGCGCAGATGTCTCATCATGAAGGACAAATTGTGTAACGTGTCACAAAATGTGGGAAGTCGTCATAGTTGGGTTAATTTAGAGAGCAGGGAATGGGAGAGTACCACAAATATATGTTTTTGCATTCCCATTTGCTCAAATAGTAAAAGAAAAACTCCACGAAATGTTTTCACGACTTTCAGAAAAAGGAAAAAAATTGAGAGAGACTGACAACGGCAGTCAGAGGTGAACGTGATTTCACCAAGTACAACATGTTCCTGGATCAACATCCTTGTTGATCCTGGAACAACATTCCAATTAACCAATCAGAATTGAGGGATTCGTTTTCAAGAAATGTCAGTTTTAGGCTTACAGTCAGGGTTAGATGCTTCTACGCCCTTCTTATTCACCTATCATTTCCCTCTGATTTTAGGAATAAATTATGGGTAGGGTTAGGTTTAGGGGTAGGGATTGGGTTAAGTCTATATTTTTGGACAGTAATGTTGATCCAGGATCAACAAAAGATGTTGATCCAGGAACATGTCTTACTTGGCAAAATCACGGCGAACAGTAGTCAGAAGAGAGAATGATGTCAAATTTACCGTCCCTCCCATAGACGCTGCATTAGAAACACCCTTGCATTAGCGTTAACTAGTTCTTTTGTAATTTGATGCAAAGGTGATATAATACAAAGTAGTGTTATAAATGTACATACATTTAAAAAAAAAATCTAAATATAAAAAACTTTCAAGGATTTATGATGCTGATGACCGTTGAAACGCGTTATCACAGTCTTGTGGAAAAAGTCCATGATTGACAAGGTTCAAATGGAAATAAGCCAACTTTCCCAAGTCCTGTCCATTTAAGAGCTCACTTATTCATCATTTAGAGAAATGAGGCTTCAAAACGAGTAAGGGATTCAAAAGATAGTGATTGAAAGCTATTTTCCAGTAAATAATCAAACATTTACCAGAAAGAAAAAATTGATAGATTGGTGGCTGGATGATAAAAGACGAATGGATTATTGAATGAAAAAATAAAGAAAGGGAAAGAGGTATTAACACATAAAGAAAAAAGAGTTGACAAAGTTAAGTTGTTCCTATAGGGTTGAAGTATTTACTTCTGGAGTCTTCTGAATAAAAATGTTTCCCTTAGATCTGTTCAACATCACAATCATAAAGACACAGACATTCCCAAATGGATTTGAAATTCATTTTTAATTATTCTCTCCAGGGAGCTGAGCATGAGGAGGTCAGGGAAGATTTTTATGCCCGTTTCTGTGCTCTGTCCAACCGGCTTGGGCTGTAAAAAATTCTGGCTAAAGGACAAAATAATTTTCTGGGAAAAATTTGAAACACTAGCGTTTCACCCAGACAGGAAGTATGATGAAATAAGAGAGAAAAAGAGAGGGAGGAAAGGGAGTGCTCAATTATCAACACTCCTCTGAAGCTTCAATCAGCAATTCTTTTCTTTCATGGCCTGTCACAAGAAAAAGTGATGGAGTCAGCGATTTGCACTCAATCTGAGTGAGCGTGTTATTTTCACCACCGGCTATCTCTGCCTCACCAACTATCACCCTGCGCACACACGCTGTGCACATACCCAAGGGCTAACGAGGATGGCTCAGTGACAGAGCACAAATGGCTGTGAAAACATCTGCTGATGTGTTACTGCTGCAGTGTGTGAGAGCTCAGAGCATCATCTGTCTCTCTAGCACCATTTCCACTTCCTCCTCATTCTTTCTGCCAGCGTTTATGTCTGTTAATGAACTCGTGTTAATATTAATCAGCCAAAAAAAGCTGTATCATCAGCTGCAAGTGTTGCCCTTTCTTTCTGTCGCACAGGCTTTGTATTTCCTGCTGAGAAGTTCAGCTTCGACCAGCATGAATTTCCACGCTGCTCCAGGCTGGTTAAGGCTGCTTTCATGCCGGTGTGGTTGATTGATCAGTGTAACTCTGCTGTACATTTGCAAACCTAACTGATGTAGCTAATTAAGTAGCATGGCCTTTCTGGTGAATTTGGTGAAGTTAAATAAAAAAGTTTTTAAGAAAACTCATTCTTCTTTCTTCTATGCATTTGATAGCATGTAGGGCTGTCAAGCTCCAAAAGGACAAAACTCAAAAGCTATTGATATTGACTCGTGTACAATTATTCTTTCAATTATTCTGAAGCCATATATATTTTTTAGACACAACATTTATATTTTTATGAGTAGCTCTCAAATTTCATTCAAGTATGCTGTGTGAGGAGGTCAAAAGCCATTGGTTCTCAATTGTTTTGTAACTTGTAACTCGCAATACAGCAAAATGTGAATATGCAGAAGTGCTAATTATATTTCAGAGCTACAGTAGAGGGCTAAGGTTTCTGTTAATAAAGACTGAAATAACACAAATCTAACAGGGAACAAATCATGAGTCATTACCATTTTTATGATATTATTTTGGTGCATTTTGTTTTTTTCCCCCCTTGATTATTTTTGTTATTTACATGCATTTATAGTATTAATTAATATTTAAATTTGCTTTTATATTTTCAGTTTCATTTTAATTTTAGTTTAAATTTGAGTAATTTTAGTATGTTCCCCCATTTTTATTAGTTTTTGTTGTTTAATATTTATATTTAACTTTAATTTATTTTTATTTCACTTTTAGTTTTAGTACCTCAACTTAAACTTATTTTATTTCAGTCAGCTGCTAAAGCAACATTTCTAATTTTAAATAAGTTTATTATTTTTATTTTATTTTAAACACATCATACACTATTGTTTTTAACGGGATTCCCAGACCGCCACATTCCGTCAAATCTGGAGAGCAGATCTCTTTAGCTCTTTGATTCCATATCACATATTCAAGTGACCTGACAACAGTACTGAATCACTTATATTAGTTATAATGGATGAGTCTGTGTTCATAACATAAAAGGCCTGCTTAAGATGTTCATAATGACAGCAGCCGTAATGAGGATATTAGAGTTGACCTTTGGGGGACTTTAAGCGATTAACCCTCTCACTTTGAGTAAATGCTAGTGAAATTACTAGTCTGACAGTGTAGGATCTTTCCATTTCTTCATTCATAACCAGTGACTTCTCTGGGTTCCCACAGTTCCCGGAGGCATTGCTCCCGAGTCTCTTACCTTCACTCCACTGGAAGATATGATCTTCCTGAAGTGGGAGGAGCCAGTGGAACCCAACGGTCTCATCACGCAGTATGAGGTATGTGCTTTCCTGCTCTTTACCGCACTCATATCCATTTCTCTCAAGCTGTCTGAATCCGCAGAGATTGGCTCTCTGAAGAGTCAGCGTTTTTACCAGGTGAAATATCGATGATCCACAACCCTTGAAAGACAAAACTTCCCACTGTGTGTTAAAATTGGACTGCCAGTTTAAATTATTTATGAACGTGCCGCTAACATATGATCCCCGCATGCGTGCGCACACAGACCTGACTGACAGTGGGCTGTATTAGGAAGACCTTGGAATGCGAGTGTTTACCACCCCTGTATAATTTGGAGTTTCAGTCTAGTGGGCCGGAAGTGCTGAGTTGTTGTTGTTGTTCTTTTTCAACTCAAGTCAGTGACAGGCAGAAAGTATGTATGAAGTCATGATTTGGACCTGGAACTCTGCATGCTGCCAGAGACACAAAAGCCACCAAGGCCAACCCTCCCTCTAATTGGTCCCTACTGCACCAGCCATCTGTTAGTAAATGACAGAAAGATGTCTCTATCTAAGTTCTATATGCTGTCTCCTAAACTTTTTGCCATTTTAGAATCTTGCTTTATTTGAATAGTTGCCACGATGTCATCATAGAACAGCCATATTCATTAACTGGGACAATTGTCCTAGAGCTATCTGGGATTCATTGCTTTGCTTGAGGACACAATGATAATTGCTCATGGCTCAGTTCTCAAACGGACTGAATCAGCACCCGCCCAGTCCTGAGCCTTTACCAATGCACCACAATATTTTATGAATGTGGCTGCTGTAGAAGCTTCTGGAACAATTTTGAGATGATGTCAAGAAGTCATTACTTAGGTAATGTCACATACAACCCATTAAAGAATCATTTATTTAGCCCCAATTGTGTAAATAAAATCTAAATGTATTTAAAATGTAATTAAAAAATTTATTTATTGATTTATTATATAAAAACTTTTTGTCATAGATTTTTAATTATTTGGAAAATAATCATTATGTAATTTCATTATCTATCTATCTATCTGTCTGTCTGTCTGTGTCTGTCTGTCTGTCTGTCTATCTATCTGTCTGTCTGTCTGTCTGTCGTTCTATCGTTCCATCATTCTACCATTAAATCTGTTGTTCTGTTTATCGATTATTCTATCATTGTCTGTCTGTCTGTCTGTCTGTCTGTCTGTCTGTCTGTCTGTCGTTCTACCATTCTATCTGTTGTTCTGTTTATCGATTATTTTGTCATTGTCTGTCTGTCTATCTATCGTTCTATCTATCTGTCTATCTATCGTTCTATCTATCATTCTATGAACCTATCTATCATTCTATGAACCTATCTATCATTCTATCTACCTATCTATCGTTCTGTCGATCTGTCTTTCTATTTATCTATCATTCTATAAAATCTAAATTTGATTATATAAAACCTTTTTGTCGATGATTTTTAATTAGTAGGAAAATAATCATTATGTAATTTCATTATCTATCTATCTATGTATCTATCTATCTGTCTGTCTGTCTGTCTGTCTGTCTGTCTGTCTGTCTGTCTATCATTCTGTCATTCAATCTGTCATTCTGTTTATCTATCATTCTGTCAGTCTGTCTGTCGGTCTATCTGATGTTCTGTATAGCTATTGATACAAAATCTTAAAAAATATAAAAGTGCTGCTTTGTCCCACTGTCACGTGCAGGCATGGTAATGGGCCATAGAACTACAACATGAGTTTTAAAGTCATTATTTAATTATAATTTAATGTTTGCATGACTTTGAGTTTTTCTATTTTTTATTTATTTGTATTTATTTAGTTTACAAATTGCTCTGTTGCACTACTTAATCAAGACAAACCAAAAAAATAGAATATTTGATTATTTTTGTTATTTACTTCTAGGATCTAAGAATCATTTTTACAGTGTGGTTTTGTGTACCAAAAAAATCTATATCATTGTATAATTGTACTCCTAAGATTAGTAGATCAGAACTGCCAAGAAAACTTATGACTTTGTCCCAAAAAGAAGGATAGCTAACAGTCTAATAAAAGCCTTTAAACCGTTTCTTCATTCTTCCGTTCAGTGCACACAGATTCGGCCTGCTCAATGGAAAGTTGGTGGGCCTCCCACAGCCAGCATCTGTCTCTCTGTTCCTCTGTTCCAGAACATTCTCACACCCTTTCTCTCTCTGGTCACACTGCCTGCCTCAGTGTCACCTTTCTCCTCGTCCATGATTCAGGCTCAGTCAGTCACTAAAAAGTTGTGAGAACAGTGCTTCTGTCACGCTCCAAAACACTCATCTCACCTCAGGAGGAAAAGTCGCTTTTGTTTATGGATCCATCATTTGGCTCAGCTATGGCCCGAAACGAGATCAACGCATTTTTTGAATGCCACCTCTGTCCATCAGGCGCCTCCCCCGTTACCATTTGCACTTACTGAGTTATCTCTCCTTGATAACACACGTTTCTTTTTCTCCCCAGGCCATAGCTACCACAGTCGCCTCAAGGATGTTTTCTAAAGGGGATTTCAAGGCTTGACCTATAAAGTGGAGGCAAGGACAGATTTTCAGGCTCAAGCAGCCTGATCTTCTCAGACATACAGAGAGATGAAGAGAGAAAGAATAAGAGAGAGGCAGAGCCTGGAGAATTCGCTCTCGTTTCTCTCAGATTAGCACATTGTCCACTTTGCTCTGAGCACCGCCGACAAAAGACTCACAGGGCACTGTGTTCCCCCTCAATCCTTCCCCCATCACTATCCTCCATGCCTCATATCTTAAAAGAGGCTGGGTACAGGTGCAGCAAATGTCTCCTAAGTCCCAGAAGCACACTGCAGTCAACACTCTAATGCTAGGCCACTAATGTTCTAATGCTCTGCACGTTTGTGATCCGAAAGTTTGTCAGGCTCATCTATCTATCTATCTATCTATCTATCTATCTATCTATCTATCTATCTATC